TTATAACATAAAAATTGATTTTCCGAAGATCTTTTTTTTTGTCAATTTGGTCCCTTTTCTCAGCACCTAGCCCATATTATATTAAAAATTATGCATAGATTTATAAAACCAACGTAGATTTGTATAGCATATATATAACAAGAACATAAAATCATTTTATATCGTTTTAAAAGTTGATTGCTCTGGTTATTATATCAAATATTAGTTTAGGACGAAATTTTTAAGTTCTAGTCGAATGATTAACTATGCTTTAGCATTTTATTCTGGGTTGCCTACATTTTTCATGATTTTTTTTTTATTTTATTTTATTTAAAAAAATTAAATTTAAGGTCATGGGCATATGACAAATGGTAAGAATCTGTTTTTTTTTTTTTTTTTTTTTTTGAAAAGTTCAAATCCATTTGATTAATTTGATTATGAAATTAGCCACATCGGTCTTTAATTTCATTTCAGAGAACTTTTAGAATAACCTTGATATCTCTAAATATAATTGGTTTATCTGCGCGTTAATGTGAAATGTCCAATGTTTGGAAATACAGAACGTTATCGCTAGGGAGGTGAAAAATTCATCGTGGAACCTCCTGTGAATAACAATTTTTTTATTCATTTGCAAGTGTTGCGTATTACGATGTTTTGTCATCATCTATGTTTTCTTTTGTGCAATATTACTGAAGGTTCATAGAATACATAAGTTCATGTATGTTGTACTTAGTAATAAAAAAAGTTCGTGATGTATTTGATTATTCCAGATATATAGTAGAACTACGAATTCAATTCAAATACTCTAGACATATAAATTAAAATTTGACGTATCGATTCGGGACAAACTACAAACACTCTTGGTTCGTAAATAATTATTTAATTCGAATATTCGATAAAAATGACATTTTTGGACTTAATAGCTTATCTAAATAATAAAAGATCCGATTAAGAAAATCATTTCATAAGAAAAATGGCATTCAACAGACCTTCTGATTTAACTAGGAAAACATGATTTATTTGGTTACAAGGCATGCTTCACATTTTATTCTGATCGATTGAATGATAGTAGTAATTTGGAATTGCTTACTTATATTTATCTTATCCTACTCCTCTTGAGAAACCCATTTTGGAATTTTTTTCTTGCCATTCTCTGCTCTGTTCCGGATAATAAATTGTTAGATTTGAATTGAGAAAACGGGCTAGTATCCTATCTGCATCTTAAATCTCTTGTTTTTTAGGTGGAACGGAGCATTGGGTCAAGGTCAATTCGATTTACTAATTTAATTCGGATTACTCAGATTAGAATTACCATCCGAATATACTAAAGAAAATCCGAATTTAATCCGAATGGTCCCTGAAAAATAGGATCAAAGCTCTACCATTTACGCTGCCGCTAGTTATAAAAAATTTATTGATTTTCATTATACATTCAGTAATTTACCAACCCTATATATGGCTAAATTTTTATTTTATTAATAATTCTTAAGAATTAACGGCAAATTTTATTAAATTAAAAAAAAAATCCTGTAAATTTTGCTTAATATTTTGTCAAGACGTACTTGACTGGATATATCTACAAATAGAATTATTTATAAATATATGTATATTAATTAATGTTTCCACACCCTTTTTTGATAATGCCACACCCCTCCTAATAATTCTAACTTTAAACCCTAACAAAAACTAAGATATATAAACAGGGGTGTGGCATTATCAAAAAAGGGTGTGAAAATACCAATTTCCTATTAAAATTATTGATTGAAAATGATCAAAAAACAAACAACTTACGTAGCATCTATTTGAGTAAGTTGTGGTAAGTGGGTTTTCACTTTGAGTCTGTATAAAGATTGTTGTTCCTTTTGCAAAGGATTTCCTTCAAAATAAACTGTCGTCAATTTTTTAAGGTGTGAAAGTTGCGACGAGAGTTCTTCAAAATCACTGAGATGATTATTGCTGGCCTATAAAATTATAAAATAATTAATTATAATAAAAGACAATTGATACATTTGATTTATCGCGCTTTTCAAATTACTGTGTCCATTGATTTTCATACATCACACCGGAAATCAGAAATCTAGAATAAATACAAATCTGTGATTGGTTAAAAATAATTTTTAGCCAATCACGTATTGGCATTTTTTCAAGATTTCTGATTCCCAGTGTGATGTATGAAAATCAATGGACACAGTAATTTGAAAAGCGCGATAAACCAACAAATTATATTCACCCAAAATTCTTCCAAATTTTCTAAGTGTGCGATATTTTCAATATGCTTTATGTTGTTATTGCTAATATCGATTACCCTTAATTTCATCTATAAATCAAGTGCCATATCACAATAAACTTTAAAGTTTAATTATTCAATAAATTGAGATAAATAAAATGGATGAAATAAATGTTTACATTATTTTCAAATCCTCCAAGTTCATTTATGCCATTATGGCTCAAATAAATCTCTTCCAAATTAATAAGTCCCTCAAGTCCTTTTATTTGGGTTAGCCGATTACTTTGAATACTTAAAATCTTGAGATTCCTTAAATTTTCCATATTCTGATGGGAAAAGATGATTCATTTAATATTTGTAAATACAAAAAAAAAAGCATATATTTATAAGTGCAATACCTGTAATTCTGTGATTTTATTCTTGCCAAGCCAAAGTTGCTCCAAATTAACGAGCCTATCCAAATTTTCTATAACCTATAACGAAAGTTTATTGTATGGCACTTCAATTACTCGAAAAAAAAATATGAATACAAGTTTTTAAATACCCGAATGCGATTTCCGCCCAACTCCAAATTTAATAAATTTATGAGTGAATCCAAGTTTTGAATATTTGTTATTTTGTTTTGAACAAAATATATGTTTTTTAAAGAAATCAGGTCTTCTAAATTTTCAATCACTTTAATTTTGTTGTAAGACAAATCTAACGATCTGACAATATATTCAATTATTCAGCATCCTGTTGATTAAAATAAATATTGAACTTTTTCTTTTTAATACTTACATTAAATTTTTTAATTTATCTAAATTTTCAATATGTGATATTCGATTATCATAAAGATCAAGATCTTCTAAGTTCGTCATAGTTTCTAAATATTCAATCTTGGTAATAAGATTTTGTCGAAGACATAATTTCTGTAAATGGATCGATGAAATAAATATTTGCTATGATTTTTTTCATAGATCAGAGAATGGTCATATACAGAACTCTTATTTACCTTTAAACATTGAAACCGTGCAAGATTTAAACTAGACAGGTCTTGAATGCGCAAATGTGATAATTCGATTTCCTTAAAAAGAGTGTGAATCAACCAAAGATGGCTTCAAAATAGCATCTTAAATGCTAAACTCGTTCATAAAAGGGTTGTACCTCTGCATCGTCTTCATAATCCTGTTCAGACATATTTATAATTAAAGTATAAAACTGAGGAAGTAGTAAATTAGCGGGAGCGTAGCGACGGACCCTTAGTGTCTACGCAAAGTGATACAAAAATTACGTTTTTGATTCATTAATTGTTATATTTTTGATGCATCTGCTTGTGACTAATTACATTTCTGATGTGATCTGTGCGGGACGGACAAAAAATTTTCAAATTACGTTTCTGATGTGTCCAAATTTGTAATTTTAGTGTAACAAAAAAATGCACATGCATTTGTATGATTATTATGATATGCTCCGGACTATGCATTTTTCTAGTATCCAATGTACAGTCAAACCTCTATAATTGCACCCTCTATAATTGCACCCATATATAAATTCTCTCTAAATGGACATCCTGGTTCCAAATATATAAAAATACCCTCTATAAATGCACACTCTCTCTAAATAAATATTTTTAAAAATTTGTTCTATGGTCTTGAGGAGGTGCAATTATATAGGTTCAACTGTATTATATAAAATGATTTACAAATATTATATTTTTATACAAGGTCATTTAAAGCCAGGTGTATTCATGTGACTTACAACCAATCAAGGCATAAATTTTGATTTATCCGGATCAGCCTGACGAACCAAAAAAAAAAAAGTGAAAAACATGAGAAATACAAAAAAATAAGTATCTAAATCTGCCAAGCATCTAAAAAACTACAACAAACACTACAAATATGCAATAGCATGTTCCCAGAAACAACAATTAACAC